GCGCCCGGTGCCCAGCCACCCAGCCCTCACAGGCGCCCTACACTGTGGACCAAGCACTTGCCCCTCCCCGCCCCGGTGGTCAGGTTGGGGTCTAGGCCCCTGCTCACGAAGGGGGACACCCGATGTGTGCCCAGCCGGTGACGGAGGCCGACGCCTGCCGTACACGTCCCTGCGGCCGTCGGCCTGGCTGAAGCTGCGGGGCCCCACGGCCAGGGCGGCACTGAAGAGCGCTGCAGAGCCGGGCCCCGCCCTCGGGGAGCCCCCAGTGTGGGGGCGGAGCTGGGCCATGCAGAGCAGGGGCAAGAGGTGGGGGGGGGGCAGAGAGGGCGTGCCAGCCTTCCCCCAGCAAGCCTGCGTCCTTTCTGCGAGGGGCTGCGGGGACCGGACGGGGTCGGGGACAGGGACGGGCGGTGAAGCCCCCGGAGGATCTCAGTGAGGATTTCAACAGTGTTTGCCGCAGGCCGCCATGGCGTCAGATGAAGGCAAGCTCTTCGTTGGAGGGCTCAGTTTTGACACCAATGAGCAGTCGCTGGAGCAGGTTTTCTCAAAATACGGACAGATCTCTGAAGGTGAGGCTGGTGCTGGGCTGGGGGCGGCGCAGGCTGCCCGTGGGGAGGACTGGGTGCAGACTGCAGATCTCTCCTGTGCAGTGGTGGTCGTGAAAGACCGGGAGACCCAGCGATCACGGGGCTTCGGGTTCGTCACCTTTGAGAACATCGACGACGCCAAGGATGCCATGATGGCCATGAACGGGAAGGTGAGGGGCTGCTGCTGTGAGGTGCAGGAGGTCCGGGTTTGCAGTGCGGGAACCCCACATCCCTGAGGGAGGGCATGCAAATCCCAACCCGTGTAAATCTCTGGTTTCCAGTCTGTGGACGGGCGACAGATCCGGGTAGACCAGGCTGGGAAGTCGTCTGACAACCGATCCCGTGGGTATCGAGGCGGCTCTGCTGGGGGCCGTGGCTTCTTCCGAGGGGGCCGGGGCCGGGGCCGTGGATTCTCCAGAGGTGAGTGCTATGCTCAGGGCCTGTGACCTTTAGGGACATGGTGGGGACATGGCTGGTAGCCACAGTGCTCACTCCTTGTCCCTCTCTGCAGGAGGAGGGGACCGAGGCTATGGGGGTAGCCGGTTTGAGTCCAGGAGTGGGGGCTATGGAGGCTCCAGAGACTACTACAGCAGGTGACGGCCAAGGTCCTGCCCAGGGTGTGCGGGAGGCTTCTCGCTGGATGCCGGCGCAGGGCAAGGCGGCTCTGTTGTCGCAGCTGGTGTGAGTAGCTTAAAGTGTCTTTCTTGCAGCCGGAGTCAAGGTGGTGGCTATGGTGACCGGAGCTCGGGCGGGTCCTACAGAGACAGCTACGACAGTTATGGTAAGTCACGCTCCAAGGGCACCGTGCTGCCGGGGCTTTTGGTGGGAGCTCAGTAAGCCTTGGCGCCCTCCTTGAGCGATGCTCAGACTTTGTCATTGTGCTGGCCCGTAAGGGACAAGATTGCCCTCTCGGTCTCTGTGCCAGCAGCGGTTTCTACCACCAAACGTAAAGGCAAAAGCAGACTGACAAAGAAGGAAAGGGAGAGTGAGGGCCCCCCCTGAGCAGCCAGCATCAGTGCATGTGCGGCGGCCGGCCCGCCGCCCTGCCCTCCGCTGTTGGGGGGGGTTGGTTACTCCCCAGGCTGCGGGGCCAAGCCCTCTAGGTCTGGACCCGGGCGTGGAATGCTGCATCTTGTCGCGTGCTTCAGTGCCTTTACACTGTACCTGCTTCTTGTTCTCAGCTACACACAACGAGTAAAAATCCTTCCTGCTCAAGATCGTCCTTCCAATGGCTGTATATTTAAAGATTTTGGGAGCTTCGCTGAATCGTTAATGTGTAGTGAACACACCTCCTTGTACCCCACTTTTGTAGTCTTATCGGTTCTGATCTTGTCAAACACAGCCTGACTGCTTCTGACCCCCAGATGGCCTCATTACTAGACTTTTCTTTTTAAAGAAGCGCTGTTTTTAAAGGTTTTAAAAACGTTTTGAAGAGCACTTCAGATTTTCCTTTTTTGTTTTTACCATGAGCCATAAGTTTTTTAGGAAATCATTGGGGGTTGTGTGGGTTTTGGTTTTGGTTGTGTTGCCTTTTTTGTTTCTCTTTTTAGTGGGGTCAGGCCCGTGAAGTTGGGTGCCCCAATTCACTTCTCTTAAGATTGAACGGACTCTGAATCCGCTTTTTGTCAGAAGCTGAGCAAGCTGTGGCTTTTTTCCAACTCTGTGTAACGTTTCTGAGTGTAGCGTGGTAGGACCCATCCTGGGGCAGTAGTAGCAGAGGTGCCCTGGCTGCCCTGGGCCTGGCCTGTGCAGGCCTTCTGTGCTGTGTATGACCCACAGTAGACTTGCAGACGTCCCCTCAAGAGGTTCTTGAAAATGTTTATTTATATTGTCCTTTTTTACTGGAAGACGTATGCATATCCCATTGATGTTGTATTTGAAGTGGTTAAGGAATTCTTGTACGCAGTTTTCTTTGGCTTTACGAAGCCGATTAAAAGACCGTCTGAAATGAACCTTGCTCTGACAATTTCCCTTTCATTGCACAACACACTCCCTGCTACGGGTTCGAGGCAGTTGGAACTGAGCAGAGAGCAGTTTGAGAAGGCGGTCTGCCGGTCCTGCCTGAGGCCCTTGGAGAGCTAGACAGGGAAGGCAGGATAGACGGACGCTTGCCGGGCCCCTTGTGACAGCCGACTGCCATTGGTCCCGGTCAGGTGAGAAGGTGGGTGACGGGGTGGGCAGCTTAGCAGGGGCGGTGGACACTCGGGCACGTGACGCTGACCCGGACCGCCTTAGTTCAGAAGTCGGCCAGAGAGTGGACAGCAGGCAGTGTCCCTGGGCGACCACAGGATGACCGGCTCGTTAGCTAGCTCTGCTGTTGCTTTACAAGTTCTGAGCTTTCACCGCTAGCCTATGGAAGCTGCAGCCCCTCGGAGGACAGAAGTGTTGTGCGCCCAACAGAAACCTCTGAGACGCAAGCTGCTCCCTTGGCTAGCTCATATGTGGAAATAGCCCTGTAATTCGAGGTAACTCCTTTTGCTCGTGTCCGCATCCCTCCTCTTGTCAAGAGCTCATTTGAAAGTAAAGTTATGTACCTGGGGAATGTTCCTTTGACTGTTTTTCCTTTTCCATTTTTCTTTTTTTTTTCCTTTTTTTTTTTTTTGTTGTTTTTTGTTTTTTAAATCAAGCTAGCACTAAAGTCAGACCTCGGCCGTTGGCCTTTCCCCGCCTGCAGCCAGGCGAGCGGCCTGGGCAGTCACGCCTCAAGAGTAGTTTCGATCCATAAGCAGGATTGGAGACCACCGAACGCCCTGCCTTTTGGAACTTTTGTTCATCAATTGACCGTCTTTTCCAGACCTCCTTACCTCAGGCTCCTCACTAGCTTTCTCTGATGTCTGTTGCCGCCATGAGTTTTTCCCAGAGCCCACACTCTTCTCTAAGCAGCTCCATCCCAATTGGGTAGCTGGCTCTGCTTAAGGGTGGAACGTGGCCTGGCCCATCTGAAAGGCGCAGGCCCACCCTGGGCACGCCAGCCTGGGACGGGGCCTCTGCCAGGATGGCCCCGATGACTAGCTTGAGACCCTCCTAGGAGCTGTGGATGGTTTCAGGGGAGGTGGGGAGGGGCAGACACGAGCTGTGGCTGGGACACTGGGCGTAACGCTTCTTTGCTTTGGCAGGTTGAAGGGAAGCCAGTGTGACTTGGAAGGGTGGCCAGAGAGCAGTGATGACCTGGGGTCCCTGTCCCAGGAGGAACTTCAGCTGGAAGCAAGAGCCAGAGGCACGGCTATCTGTCCTCACTATGTTACCTGTAAGTGCTATCATGGGGTGGATGCTTTGAGGCCCTTTGGCCCTGACAGTGCCTGGCCCACCTGGTGGGTTCTCCTTTCCTGGTCTCCTGCTCTACTGTGACACCAGCTGGAGGCTGCGTTCTGGGGCCCCCTGCCGGTACCAGCTCTCCTTTACGCCCCCCCCCCTGCTTCTTGTCTTCCAGCAGGTACTTCACTGGGGAGGCTGAGGTGCCCGGATTCACGATGCTCCGGGAGGACAGGTGTGTGGCAGTTGGCGCCACACGTATCTGGTTCTCCCCCTGGTTCTCCCCCTTGTTGGTAGCAGGACCTGGAAGTTGGATTTGAATAAAGGGCTGGTGTGTCCACACAGAAGTCTGAGTTTGGCTTGGGGTGCGACCGTGGGGTGTTTGGGGTGGGGAGTTGTCTGCTAGAGAAGGCCTCTCTCTGGCCTCTGCTCAGGGCACAAGCTGGACCCAAGCCAGGACCACCTGGTCACTTTGTTGTCTCCTTGGGCAGCGGTTGTAGGTTTTGACGGGCAGTGAGGCCGAGAGATGGTGGTGGACCCCAGGCCGCCTCATGTCAGGTGGGCACCTCTCGTCCAGGGTCTTGGCAGAGTGCCCCCCAGTCTCCCATCTTGTGTTGACTGAGCTTGCGTTCTGGGTTGGTTGCCTCCTGCCCGGTTCTGGGGTGCAGAGCATTGGGGCTGACCCTTGGTTGGGATGCCTTAGTCCTGGGCCACTCCCCTCCACTCTCAGTAGGGCGGGGAGGGTGGTGGCGGCGGCAGGGAGCCCCGAGTCCTCCCACAGGTGGGGGCGGCCCCTGCGGAGAGCCAGATGCTCCCCACTAGCTGGACAGCCCCTCTTCCAGGGGGAGGAGAGCGGGGGGAGCACTCCGCGCGGGCTGGGGCTGCAGGCCGCGCGGCCTCGGAGTCCACCGTGCTAGCCACCGGGAGGAGCGGAGGGCGCCCGGCGGCCGCGGTCCGCGGGCAGGGAAGGCCCGGGGTGCGCGCGCAGCCGGCGGCCGCAGCGCCTGTGGGCCCCGCCCGGAAGCGCCCGAGGATCCGCTCGGCGGGGGCGGGGCTCCGCGAGCGCTAGGCCCCGCCCCCGCGGGCCATTGGCCGGGGCCGCCCCCGCGCCGCTGAGTGACGGGCGCGGGGGGCGGGGCGCAGGCTCCGCTTCCGCCGGGCCATGGGGCCGCGCGTGCTGCCGCCGCCGCCGCTGCTGCCGCTGCTGCTGTCGGCGCTGCTGTGCGGGGCCCAGGAGGCCGCGCCCCCGTCGCCGCGCCCCGTGCAGGCCACGCTGTCGCCATCGCCCGCCGTGACGAACGGGAGCCAGCCGGGCCCGCCGCACAACAGCACGCACGCGCGGCCGCCGGCCTCGCCGGGCTCCTCGGTGCTGCGCTTCTTCTACGTGCTCACGGGCCTCAGCGGCCTGGCCGCGCTCTACTTCCTCATCCGGGCGTTCAGGTGCGGCCGGCGGCGGCCAGTCCTCGCGCGCCTCCCGCCTCACGTGTCGGCGCCGGGCCCCGCCCCCGGAGCGCCGTGGCCGGGCGGGGGGACCCCGGGGCGCGGCCCCTCCCTCGGGTCGGCGGCCCCGCGTCACCCCGCGCAGGCCGCGCGCCGCCTCGGTTCTGCGGGGCCCGGGGAGGGGCCGGAGCGGCGCCGGGGTCGCTGGCGCGGAGGGCGCGGAGGGCGCGGAGGGCGCGGAGGGCGCGGGCGGCTGGGACGGCCGGGGGGGGGGGGCGCTGCCCGCGGGGAGCCGGCGGGGTGGCCGGACCCCGACGCCGGCCCTGAGCTCGCCTCGGCCCGCCTGCAGGTTGAAGAAGCCGCAGCGGAGGAGGTACGGCCTCCTGGCCAACACCGACGACCCCACGGACATGGCGTCGCTGGACAGCGACGAGGAGATCGTCTTCGAGACCCGGAATCTGAGATGGTAGCGCGGCCCTCGCCGCAGGCTCCCGGGGACCGGGCTTGTCGCGGGGAGGGGGCCGCCAGCCCCCGAGGCCTGCCCCGGCCGACCCGGAGGCCAGGATGAGTGTCGGGGACAGCGTCGTGGGGCCGCCGACGGGCGGGCTCGGGCTCCGGCCCTGTGCCCCGGCGGGGAGGAGGCTCGGAGGCAGCAGCGGCCCGAGCAGTCGCGAGCCGCCCTCCGGGACAGGGCGCAGGCTCGGAGGCCGGGACGCCGGGACGCCGGGACACCGGGCGGGGCGCTGCTCTGACCTGCCGGCCGGGGGGGGGGGGGGGGGAGGGGTGGGGGGGGACGGCGCTGGTGCCATCCGGGAACCCCCTGCCTGGCGGCGGCCTGGTGGGGCCCCGCGGCCCCGGGGCTGGGGAGGGGGGCCTGGCGGACTCTAGGGGACGCCGGACAGCGGAGGTCTCTGCTGGTCACTGGCAGGGGGAGCCCCGCGGGGGACCGCGGGGTCTCACCCCCCCTTCACCCCCAGATGCTCCGGTCCCGGAGGCGGCCTTTCCAGAAGCCCCAGGGAGAGGACAAGAGGCCGAACGGGCTCCCGGGGCGTGCGGCACCCCGCTGATCCTCCTGCTGGCTTCGCTGCAGACTCCCAGACGCCGCCTGGCCCTTCACCCTGACGCCGCCCTGCAGGATGCTGCGTGCAAATCAGAGGCGCCGGGAGCCTCAGCGGGCCTCAGAGACTGGGGGACTGTGGCCTGGGTCACGCCACTTCTGTGGGGGACGGGGCGGGCCGAGGGACCTGTCTGGGAGCTGTCTGGGAGCTGTCCCGCTGTGCTGGCGACAATAAAGGCAGCAGTGGCTCGGTAGCTGGACCTCAACTCCGCACAGGCCCCACCCGGTGCGCCGACCCACAGGCGGTGGGGTGGGTGCGCCACAGAGCAGGGCTCCACCTGTGCCTCGGTCTCCCATCTGTGACCAAGCCGGGCTTCCCTGGGCTTGTCCCTGGCTGCCCCAGGGGTCCAGTGAGGAACCCCCAAGATAGACGGGGAGCTGGGGAAGCCCTGGCCTCACCCGCCCAGATAGAGGCCTTGCCGGCCTGCGCCCCAAGGCCCAGGGGAGCTCCTGCGTTTGCCGGTCAAAGCCCACGTACAGGGGCTCCGTCCCTGGAGCCCCTCCAGGCCGCGCCCCCCGGTGTCCCTGCCCGACCCTGCTCACCACCCGGCACCTGGGGGTGTTTCCCACGGAGCTCTGGGGCAGTAGTGGAGGGGGGCCAGAGCTTCCTGTGCTCCCAAGGCCCCCATAGCGCTCCTGTGGGAGCTGCGCTGAACCTGAGCCCCCAGCCCCCGCGAGTTTATGGGTTTCCCCGTGGGCCTGGTTCCCTCGTGAGCTGCTGCTCCCGGACAGGTGGCGGTTCTGGGCTGGCGCCCCCCACCCTCCGTGCGATCGGTGGTGGGGAGTCTGGGGGGAGGGGCTGCCCGGCCTGGAGGCTCCCCAGGGTCTTGGCCGGAGGCAGCGCAGCCGCGGCGCGGTGAGGAGCAGCCACCAGGTGGCAGCCTTGTGCCACGCAGCCTCCTCCCTGCGGGCCGCGGGGCTGCGGGACTCGGGGCTGCGGGCGGTGAGGCCGCCTCCTCCGCTGGAGCCGGGCGGTCCTGGGGGGGCAAGAGGCTCAGCGGACCGCCACCTCGCCCCCGCGACCGGCAGGGGCTGCGCTGCTGTCAGCCCCGCGGGCCCACCCGCCGCCCTGCCGGGGAGTGTCGCTCCCTGCCTGCTGCCGGGGTGCAGAGAAGCCGTCGCCCGCACGGCCAGCTGGTGGGCGCCCTCTGCAGCTGGGGTCGCTGCCCTCGGCACCTCTGTTGGCCTCTGCACCCCGAGCCTGCTTACGTTTCCCCTTTCTCCTGCTGGCCAGCTGGTGCCTCCAGGAAGTCCTCCCTGACTGCTGCTCCCGCCCTGCTGTTTGGGAGGGTCTCGCACTCAGGGTCCAGTGGGTTCTGTGGGGAAGCTCAAAGTGAAGCCAGAGCCCCTGGGAGACCCGGACAGGTCACACCCGCCCACTCGGGCTCTTCCTCCGTCTGTTCCCACCGCGGGTCTCTGTCTCTGCATTTTTGTCCTTGTGTCTTTCTGACTCGGAGCCTCCCGACGGTTTTTCTCCATCCATCGGCCCGGCCTCTCTCACTCGGTCTGCGTTTCCGTCTGTCCCCCCGTCTGTCCCGTCTCTGCTTCCGACCCACGGGGACGCGCTCTCAACAGGCGAGCAGACACCGTGCGCTGCGCTCTCGGCCCGTGATCCGCGTCCCACTCCCGCAGCTCTGAGCGGTTTTTTGAGCTTCAAAAGGCACATTAACTACCCTAATGAGGTCAGGAGAGACCCCGCGCTCTGCCACCCGGAGCTGGAGCTGGGAACGCACCAGTGGCCCCCGCCCCAGCCCGGCTGCGCTGAGCCAGCCTGTGGGCAGCGTGGGCAGCGTGGGGTGCCCCGCCCAGCGGCGCCCCGCGCTCCGGATCGGCAGCCTCTGCCCAGGCGGGAGCGGTTAGCGGGAAGTCCTCAGCGGCTGAAAGCCGGGGAGCCGCCTGTCAGCCGGAGATGAAAGGCCCCCCGGGCCCCTGCGTGCAGGTAGGCAGCCCGGGCGGGCTTCCAGCACCTTCCTCCACCTCCCGCACTCAGGCGGGCGCGGTGCACGACACATGTGGCCACACGTATGGGATGTACAGAGGACAGGCGGCGCTGTCCCCTGCTGCGGAGCCCCAGCTCGTGCCAGCTGGGGGTGCACGGACCCCCGCCCCTCCCAGCACCCCGCTTCCCCACCGCAGTGGGCGGCACACACGGCGCAGCCAGGGCCCGGGTTGGGGTTTCTGGCTCTTGCCCAAGCCCGGCCTCGCTTGTCCATCCAGGGAACGAGGCGGGTGGGAGCCGGCGCCTCGGGCTCCTTAAAGGGGTGTCCTACAGCCAGGCTGACCTGGGTGCCGGCCCGGGCCGGGGTGCAGCGGGGCGTCCTCCCAGGATCTCAGGGGCCTCCTCTGCGGGCTCCCCAGGTCTTTGCACCCGCCCCCCGGCCAGCCGGGGCTTCTGCCAGAGCCGGGGCAGGAGGCGGGGTGGGCCTGGTTCATCCTTCACCGAGGAACTTCTGCATCGTTCTACCTTCCTCCCTGGCGCCGTGGCCTTCGAAGGCGAAAGGGCGCCAGACGCTGATCCCAAGCCGGGGGACTCACCCCGCAGGCCAGGGTGGCAAGCAACGTGCTGCGGGTGGTGGGCGCTGGTCTGCGGGTCAGTGGGCGGCAGGCAGCAGGTGCTGGGCCAGGGCGCCGGGGGTGCTAGACACAGGCTGGGAGTCAAGTCTGGGCCTGGCCTGAACAGGACCCTCCCCAAGTCTGGGGCCGACCCCCAGGACCAGGGTGGACAGGAACAGACCCCCACCCCATCTGTTCTGGATCTGGACCTGGGGCAGATGGCCAACCCCGAGTGACCTCTGACCTTGCCTCAGCCTCGAACCCAAGACTGACCCCTGTCCCCAGAGGGAACCTGATGGCTGACTCTTGACTCCAGGGGAAGCTTACTCCAGAATGCCCCCTGGCCCCAGCTGACCCCCTGCTGGCTGCGCCTGGAGGCTGGGAGGGCCGCCAGCCCTGGGGGGCACAGGGCCTCTTAGGTGCCGAGGGCGGCCCCCAGCAGGGCAGGAGTCCCCAGGGGCGCTGGGCAGCCGGTGCTGTGCCCCCACCCCCACCTTGCCCGGGGCCAGGCCTCAGAGCTGCCCTGCCTTCCCCTCCCCAGAGCCCTTCCTCCAGGAGCGGCCGGCGGGCGCAGAGAGGTTGAATGGGGGACGCGCGCCTTTGTTCCTGTCCCTGCTCTGGCTCTGACCTTGAGAGAGAGACAAGAACAGAAGGAAAACAGAGCTTCAGCTCAAATCCGCTCAGGCAGCGGCAGTGGCGGCTCTTGCCTTGGTGGCCCCTGCATGCAAATGAGCAGACCCATTGTGGGGCCTTTGCCGGGCAGTCCCCTGTGCCTGGTGTACCCTGCCCGCCTGGGCTCCTCCTGCCCCCTGCAGGTCCAGGTCCTGCCGGGTTTGACGGAAGGGACCCCAACCCCAGCTGTGAGGTCCCGTCCAGTAGGAGGACAGAGGGAGTTCCCAGAAGGCCCCTCTTTGTCAGGCAAGACACTGGACTGGGCCGGGCATGCTGGCACCCCTGGGCTGCTGGCCCTCCTTCCATGCCTGTCCTGTCCTCCAGAAGGGACCCCACTGGGAGCGACCGCCCTTGTGCCCTCCAGAGAGCCAGCCGGGTCAGCCTGCATGGAGCGGGGCCCGTGTGGCGGGAACCCAGGCCCTCCCTCCAGGTGTATCCAGAGTCAGTTTGAAGGCCCTGCCAGGTGACGCTGGGCCAGTCCTGGGCCTCTGTGGGCCTCCTGGGCCTGCCCTCGCCACCATCCTCTGCGGAGCCCCCTGGGGCAACCCTGGGGCTTGGCGACGTGTGGTAAGAGGACAAAACTCAGACGCCAGAACGTCTGGAACAGACGGGCTGAGTTCCCTGGAGGGCAGAGGACTGAGCACCTCGTCGTGGCTGGGGTGGGGGGACATGGGGAGGGACAGGCCTTGATGGATGAGCAGAATTTTAATGGCAAGAAAAAGGGATGGACTCTCAGGGTCCAGCCTGAGCGAAGGGGAAGCTCGGGTCACAGGTGGGGTACACCCACGGCATGCTGGAGGCATGTGGCTGGGGTGCGGGTCAACCGGCCAGGCTTGGGTCTCTGCGGGTTCCTGCAGGGACAGGCAGTCACTCCTCACAGGGGAGCCTCCCAGTTCAAGAGGTCTTGCCTCCTGGGCCTCGCGCTTCGCCAGCCCTGGGTGCGAGAAACAGGCCCAGAGAGGGGGAGCCCGGCTGGGCACCGCTTTGCAGCCGGCACTTGGTGACGGAGTACCTCTGCCAGCCGTCCGGTGACAGAGGCGGGGCACGAAGACGGACAGCCGGGAGCACAGGCCCCCGTTCCTGGCCGGCAGGCAGCCGGCGGGGGTGAGCACTGTCCGCTCCCTGGACCGGTCAGGCTCTCCGGGCCTCTGCTTCAGCTGCGCCCTCCGCCCCGGTGCCCTTGCTGGCCGGCCTGCCCTGTCAGATGTCGCCGGGGGGTGGGGGGGTGGGGGGGGTTGACTTCCCGTGCTGTTGCTCTGGGGGCCACGCTGCTTGGGTCCCAGGATGAGCGGGAAACGGCCGCCGTGTGTCCCGCCCTACTGTTTGCCCCGGGCCCTTAGGAGCTGAGTCAGGACTCGGGTTCCCTTTCCCAGAAGAGGAAGCAGAAGTGAAGAGGGGGGAAGCCTAGTGCTGGGGGGTCGGGGAGCCCTGCAGTTGCCTGGGGCTTAGGATTCGGTCCGGGTCTGGAGGAGGGAGCGGAGCCGGGGCAGCGGAGCCCGTGTCCCCTGCTCCTGGGGGGCGCCGGCCTCGCTGACTGCTGGGGGACCGCGGGCGGGGGCGAGGATGCGGGCGTCCAGGCAGCCGCAGCCCCCGCCCCGCGCGGCCGGGCGCGGCAGGAGGGGGCGCCCGCGGCCCTCCCGGCGCTCGGGCGGGACAAAGGCCGGAGCCCCGGCCCCTCCCCGGCCCTCCTCGGCCCTCCCGGCGGCGGCGGCGGCGGCAGCGGCGGCTGCGGCGGCGGCCCGCGCTGCGAGAGTCCGCGCGGCCGGGCCGGCGCCCGGGGCGACCCCGGCGCCCCGCCCGCCGCCGCCTGCGTTCCCGGCGCCCGAGGTCGCGCGCGCCCCGGCGGGGGCGGCCGCGGATCTCCAAGCGCCGGCGCGCCCTCCTCCCGCCCGCCCCGCGCCCGCCCGCTCGGCGGCGGCGGAGGAGGCGGAGACGGCTGGCAGGCGGCGGCCAGGCGAGCGCGGGGCGGCCGGACCGGGGCCATGGCGCCCGCGCAGCGCCCGCTGCTGCCGCTGCTGCTGCTGCTGCTCCCGCTGCCGCTGCCGCCGCCGCCGCCGCCGCCCTTCGCGCGCGCCGAGGACGCCGCCCGCGCCAGCTCGGACCGCTACGCCGTGTACTGGAACCGCAGCAACCCCAGGTGAGCGCGGCCCCCGCCCGGGGCGCCCCGGGACCCCCGCCCCTCGCCCTCTGCGCCGAGCGCCCACCCGAGGTGGCGGCCCCCGCCCGCAGGAGCGCGCCCGGGGCCCCCGGGCCGAGCGGTGTCCGCGCCTCGGAGTTCGCGGAGGTCCCCGGGGAGCCCCGCGGCGCAGCGGCCCGGAGGGGGACCTCGGCCGGCCGGTCCGCGGTGCGTCCTGCCCGCGGGGTCCCCGCGTGAACTTGGGGAAGTTCTTCTGTTCCTCCCTCCCAGCCCACACCCGCCTTCGCTCCAGGGGTCCCTGGTCCCGCTTGGAGGAGACGGGGACACTGAGGCACCGCGCGGGGCAGTCCTGGCAGTCGGACCCGGTGGCACCCTCTCCCGTCTTCCTGGCACTGACGGGGAAACTGAGGCACAGAGTGGCCGAGCGGCTGGCTCAAGGTCACGTGCCGGGGGCAGAGCTGGGGTGGGGACCCCGGCGGCCTGTGCCCTGCCTGCCCACGCGTCCCCCGCGGCTCTGCTGCTGCGTGCCGTGCGCGGGGCACGAGTGCCTGTCAACCGGCGTGGGAAAAGTTCGCCGGGGATGGACGGTGCCCCGGACGTCGGCCGAGCGCCTGCGCATCTCAGGCGCCCGAAGGCCGGAGTCGGCCGGGGGTCCCCTGGGCGACGGGGCTGGGAGCGCCTCTGGCCCCGGGGTCCCCGCTCTGGGTTGCGCGGGGTGCCCCTGGCCGGCCAGCCTCCCTGCTTCCTGCGCTGCTGCCACTGGTCACTCTCCCTCTGCTTCGAGTGCCGGCCGAGACACCCTCCGGAGCCCACTGTCCCCTGCCGTCCTCGATCCTCGGGCAGAAAGTTGCATAAAGGGCCGTCTTTGAGGCAGAGTCCGGGACAAGGGTGGCCAGTGTCCTGCCGTGGGGGGTGGGGAGCGCACCCAGACACCCCCTCGTTGCCCAGCTGTGGGGTCGGGCCCCAGGGCCAAGGGCAGAGACCCCGGGCCGCAGAGGGACAGCCGGGCCACCGCGGAGCGGGTTCCCTGAGCCGCCTGCCCCGCCGGTTACATGTGGGTTTGATTAAGGCTCTTCCCTGCGGCCGAGCGGGGGAGCCCAGCGGGCAGGGCTTCCCCGGCCCAAGTTTTTGGTTTCAGCTTTGGAATCTCCGTCCTAGGCATGGCCTGTCCTTTGTTCTAGCAAACACCAAACACACGAGGAGCCTCAGATGGGGACGGAATGGGGGTGCTTGGGGCCGCCTGCTGCCCCACCTGCCGCGGCGCTGCGGGCAGGACCCCGGCCGGGGGAGGGAGGCAGCCCCCCAGCCGGTGCCTGGCTCTGGCCGGCCGCTCGGACGCCTCCTGTGGTGAACCTGACAGCCCGTTCCGACCAGCTGACCGAAGGCCTCGGTGGCCTCGGGACCCCCAGGAGGTCTGCCGTCCAGGGGTGGCCGGCCCGGAACCTGTGCCCCATGACGGGGTGTGTGTTGGACACGGGAGGACGGGTGGTGCTGGGCCTCAGATCCAAGGGCACCGGGCAGTGGAGATTTCCCGAAGGCACCCGGTCCTGGGGACGGCTGCCTGGGGCAGGGGTGCGGGGTCGGCCCGCAGGCCCCGAAGCAGGAGGCAGGCCCAGGGGCAGAGACAGGACACAGGCCTGGTTTGGTCAGTGACGGATCAGTGGTGGCGGCAGGTGGCGGAGATGGGGAACCGCAGGGACGGCGGGGGTGGGAGAGGGCGTGCCTGAGAGAGGGGGGCGCACACAAAAGGCACAGCAAGGAAGGGGGTCAGGGTGAGGGCCGGGCACCCTGGGGCGCAGGACGGGCGGTCAGTGGAGGAGCCCGTGGGACGCATGTGGTCACATGGGGGACGGTCAGGCACAGACACCCTGCAGGTGCCAGCACCCTCGCCCGGCCAGGCCTCGTACCTGCACCAAGGTAATAAGCATGTGGCTCCGGCGCCCGAATTCCGTGCTCCTGCTGTGCAGCGCACTTCCTGCACGCCTGCAGCGGGTGGACCCTGCCGAGCGAGCCCCACACCCACCGCAGCGCCGCGGCGGGGAGGGGCCGTGGGTCTGCTTCGGCCACCGGGCGCCCCCGCACCCCCAGGGGCTGGCTGTCCGGCTGTCTGTCCGGCCGGCACCTACCTGGTCACCCCCGGGCCGGCCGCTTGGGGTCCCGGGCCAGCCCCCTCATACGGGGCCGAGTGCTGCGGCGCGGGGAAGGTTCGGGCGCGCCTCTGTCTCAGGCCATGTGTAGCTGCGGGTTTTTGTGTCGGATACGCGGGGATCCTGGGGCCCCGGGAGGTGCACACGCATGTGTGTGCGGCAGGATGACGCATATGCCTCCATGTGTGTGTGGGCCCTGGCTCTGGCATGTTTGCACACGTGTCCTGGTGGTTGTGCCAGAGTGCATGCATGTGTTTGCACAGCGCGTCTGTGTGTGCAGCGTACGTGGTGTCTGGGGGCACACGTGCAGATCTGCGTGTGCCGATCTGTGCATAGGCACAACAGGGCTGTCAGGGGGGTGCACACATGTGTCTTCGGCGCATCTGGGAGTGGAGCGCACATGCGTGTGTCTGTGTGTGCGCGCGCTGCCAGGCTCTGGTCGGCGCGGAGCCTCCGCTCAGGACGCAGCCAGGCCTCGCGGATGGTGGCGCGGCTTGCTGTCCCCGCGTGTCCGGCGGCTCCTCCTCTGGCCCCCCGGAGCTGGGTGGGGGTGTGCACCCGTCCCGGGGGATAACGTGCGTGGGTCCCCGGGGCCCCGTGCTGCCCACGGCGTGGAGGGGCGTGCAGGTCCCGAGCTGGCGCCATGTAGAGCGCCCACGGCCACCCCGGAGCCCCCCGCCCGGGAGGAGACCCGCAGCCGGGGCCGCAGAGGTGCGGGCTGGGGCTCTGCCGGGCAGGGGGCTTCGGCGGCCGCCCTGATGCCAGGCGGGGTGGCATCTGAATGGGACTCCGTGTGCTTCTGGGGGTGCGCTGGGAACGTGGTGACTCGACACGCACCCTCCCCATGGTGGAGGCGTCGGGCACCCCTGGGCCCTGTGGCCCTGCGGCCTCGCCTGGGCCTCTAGGGACAAACGGCCGTGACTGCGTGATGCCAGATTTTGTCGTACGAGGGTTTTTTGTTTTGTCCGAGGGGGTTGGTGTGGCGGCTTTCAGGGCTCGGACGCGAGGCCCCACGTGCCTGGGGACAGGCCCGGGAGCCGTGGGGAGCCGGGGATGTCCAGGCGCGACCTCAGGTGGTGGTGGGCTGCTCGGAGCCTCGGCGTTGCCTTCGGGAAGCGGGCAGCAGGTGCGCCAGGCCACGGGCAGGACCCCGGGGCGCAGCGGGACAGCCGGGCAGCTCTTGCGGGGAGCGCGGGGGGCCCTGCGGCCGGGCCCCAAGGTCGTGCTGACGGCGACTGTGCACCCAAAGAGCGGGGTGAGAAGCGGCGGTGCGGGGTGGGGTGGCCCGGCACTTCCCCCCGGGTCTGACGGGTGGGGGTCCTTCCCTTCCCCTCCCGCGGTGGACGCCCTGGGCACTGTCCCCACGCGGACGCAGGTCGGGGGCTCGGGGGCTGATGCCGGGGCGCGCTGTATGAGCGGCGGCTCCTGGCCTCTGCCAGCCTGGGGGTGCCCACCCCCGGACCCCTGGGCCCCCGGGACACACCTCTGTGGGGTCTGTGGGTTCCTCAGGGTCCCAGGTGCAGGTTTCTCCTGGGACAGCAGGTGCACTAATGGGGTGCGGCGTTCCCGAGGCCCCGCCCTGTGCCCCGTCGGCCGTGACACCCCCACGCCCCCTTCCCCCTCCTCAGTGAGGGGCCCCCAGCCAGCCTCGCCCCGGGTGTGGCCCTGGGGGGGCTCAGCTGTGTGCCCCGCACCGCCCACCGTGCCAGGGACGGGCTGAGTGCGGCTGGGCCTCCTCACACCTGAAGGCCAGGTGCGCCCGCGCAGCGGGTCTTGGCCTGACCCTGGCTCTGGCTGCCGGCCGGGTCTCCCCCACGGCCAGGTCTCCCCCACGCCTGCTCTCTTGCCCCGCCTCGGTCTCCCTGTTGGGCCTGGGGCCGTGGCTTTGGGGGCTCCGTCCCCCACGTGAGCTGGGCCGTCGCTCACTGCCGTGGCCTTGCGCCCCGTTGGACCCGTTTCGCCAACACCAGGGAGTGAGTCACCCGGGGCCACAGGGAAGTCAGGCCCGAGCGAGGGGGTGTCGGCCCTCGGCCTGCGGGAGACCCAGGCCCAGCGGTGGGGCTGCCCCTGTGCCCCCGCCCGCACTGCTTCAGGCCCCCCCACGCCCGCGGCCCTGATCACCCACACGGCGGACCCCGCCCCCGCCCCCGCCCCGCTGTGGGAGGCAGGCGGTGGTCGGATGGGAGATGTCGCCCTGACCCCGAGAGCTAGGCCTGGGCGCTGAGGCCTCGGCTGTTGGCCGGGGCCCCCCCGGGCACCTGTCGGCCCCTCCCTGGGAGCCGGGGTCAGGCTCAGACGAGGGAGATGGTCCCGAGGCCTGCGGGGGCACGCGGGGCCTTGCTGTGCTGCCCGCCTCGCCCCTGCCAGGTTTCTGGTCGGGGGCGGCGGCACAGCCCTCCCCGCCCCGGCCCCGTTTTGGGTGAGACTCCTAATTAGTTGCTTTGCTATTAGCGTCTAATGACTTGACAATGGCCCGATTGAAACTAATTAGCTGCAGGCCCTGCGGTTGGCAGGGTGGGGGGTGGCGGGCAGGGCCCGGTCCACCAGGGGCTGGGAGGGCTGCCTGGAGGATGTGCGCGTGGGCACAGGAGTGGGGGCGGAGGTGTGGAGGGAGGGGGATGGGCGTAGCCTCCGAAAGCCTCAGGAGCCCTCCGTCTGGGGACCCATCCCAAGTCAGTCATTAACCCCTTAGTGAGAATTGCTCTCTATCTGCTGCTCCCACGGAGCATTTGCACATCACGCTTCCGCGCTAATGGAGAAAATGAAAGCTTTGTCTTGCTCGCACCGGCTCGGTTTTGGGGTTGAGCCCCTCCCCCGCGCAGGCGCCACCCTGAGCAGGGCCCAGGCGCCTGCCCGGGTTTGCCCGCCAAGTTGGAACCGGGAATGTCAAGGCAGCAAGGCCATCGCTATTTTAGAGCGTGGGGGGGGGGGGATGGTCCACTTCGACAGCCAGAGCTTGGGGGGGTCGGGGGGCTTCTGGGACCCGTCTGCCTGGGGTCCTCGCCCCATGGTGGGCCACCGTCTGGTCCCTGCGACTCTGGGACCTCAGACACTTGTGTCTTTTTCGGCCTTGTTTGATCCACAAACATGTGTTGAGGACCTGGGCTGGCAATGAGGGAAGGGGCGGCGGAGGAGGGACCCCAGGGTCCAGGAGGGCAGACGGCGGACCGCGTAGAGGTAAAGTTTTGAGGCTGGTGGAATAAGATAAGTGATGGAGAGGAAGCAGGCAGGTCAGAGCATTCCAGGCGGAGGGAACAGCATGTGCAAAGGCCCTGGGGTGGGGACAGGAGCAGCCAGATGGCTAGTGTGGCCAGAAGGGAGTGACGGGGGGCAATCACCCGGCGACCTGGCGTAGGGCAGCAGGGCTTTCGGGCCTCATGACCTGGGAGGACTGTGGGTTTTATCTGACTGATGGGGAGCTTTGAGCCAGGGGATCCCAGGGTCTGATTTACATTCAGAAAAGCCGAGCCCTGGATTTGGGAGGCCCCGCCCCGTGGGGCCCACGTATCCAGCCCCGGAATCGGCAAGGCAGCCTCAGTTTTAGATGCTTTTTTAGAAGATGATACGGGAAGGGGGAGGATACTGGTCTGGCGCAGGGGAGGAAGGCGGGCGTCTGGGATGGAGGGCAGGGACCAGGGGGATGGGGGGTGCGGGGTGCTGCGGCAGCCCCACCTCCACCCTCCAGGCTCCATTGAGCGGAAGCCCTTTCTTTGAGGCTGTGTATCCCCTGCACCATGCCAGGGAGGGTGGGGGAAACTGAGCCCCGGAGGGGCAGGCCCTGGTCGCCAGCACCTGCAGCTCAGCCCTACCCCCCCCAGCCCCGCCGTGGGCGGTTCCCTATCTCCACCTCCCCTGCGGCCTGGCCTGGGTGGTCCAGGCGGGCGCGTGGCCCCGGCTGCCATCGATTGGCTGATCAATGGGGCTTTCAATGGGCTGGGAAGGAGCAGAAATGACTTCTGAAAAAGCCTGGAGTGGCGTCTGCATCGATCTCTCCCAAGGGGCTGGAGAGCACCGCCAGTCCGCGGGGCACCCGAGGTTGGCCAGCCGTGGGGCAGCCCAAGGGACAGGCGGGGTCTCTGCCTGACCCCGTGCCAGCCTGGCCCTGCGTCAGCACGACCCTGGCCCCTGCCCCAGGGCTGCCCTGCCTGTGTGCAGGGCCTACCGTGTCGTGTGTATGTCTGGGGTCCCCCTTTAGCCTCAAGGACCGTCCCCACTGTGCACAGTTGTAAACTGACACTTGGAGGATGAAACACGAGACCCAGCGGGGCACAAACTGGTGCCTGAACCCAGAACTGTCTGCAGCCCCCACGGGACCCCGCTTCCCCAGTCTCCTTGCTACACGCCCTGACTCCACAGACGCCATCCCACCACCGGCACCCCCCTTCCCGGAGGAGCCCAAGAGCCGGGAAGGGGTTGGCGGTGACTCTGCTCCCTCCGACCCGAGACTCGGAGTCTCCATCTTAGCCACAGGCTTGAGGTCTCCGTAAGATCTCCGGTGTCAGAGTGGGAAACTGAGGCACAAGTGAGCAGGTCTCCTGCTTGCCTCGCTCCCACCCCTGGAGCCCCAGAAGCCCTCCCCCGACCTGGTGCCGAGTGTCCAGTGGCAGGGGCCAGCGGGGGGCCGGCCGATGCCATCTGATGATCCAGCACCGCTTGGTGCACTGTGCCAGTGAGTGCACCCGCATGGGGGGCTCAGCATGGCTCCCTGGACCGGGTGGCCGGCACGTTGGGCACGGAGGTGTGGCACGGGGGCGCGGGGTCCCAGTCCCCCTCCCTGCCCTGGGGCTCAGCTCTCAGGCCTGGACCATGAGGGACAGGGGCAGCCTGGGGAGCCGGGTCCCTCCCCCCACCCCAGTTTGGGCCTTTCATGTGCAAACAAGCTCCTGGCAGAGGCCGCTGTCCCACCTGGAGGCCCCCCTGTCCCACCTTGGGCCAGGCTGCCTTTTGGTGACCGGAACCCAGGGGACCCCGCCAGGCAGATCTAAGGGATCCTGGCGCTGTAGCCTGAGGCAGTGGTGGCGGGGCAGCTGCCGGTCCCGCTCTCCGCTGACCTCCAGCCTCGCCAGATGAGGCTGGACTGGGGTTGGGGGGCTCCCCAAGGACGGGGTGCAGGCTGCATGACAGGTGGGACTGCCCGGGTGGAGGCTGGGAAGCAGGGCTGAAGGACAGAGGTGTGAGGTGGCTGGGGGCCTGGTGGGGTGACCAAGAGGTTGAGGGGCAGTTATCAAATTCTAGAGGCTCCGGAGGGAGGCCGCTGGACTTGGGGGGGGTCACAGTGGAAGAAGGGGTTGAGGCTGGGGTGCAGCCCCCAGCGCCACTGAGCTGCCCTGGGGCGCCCTCGCCAGGCCCCGCCCCTGCGGGGACACTGAGGCAAGAGCAGGCGTCAGAACCAGCCGCCCGGGGGCCCAGAGCCCAGCCTGCGTCCCCACAGCCCCCTGCTTCTTGGCAGGCGCAGCTGCAGAATGGAAGCTCTGGGGGGCCGCGTGGGGGGCTGCCCGGGGGAGGGGGCGCTTAGTCGAGCGGTAACGTGCTTTGGGAGACGGACTTCACGACCGGGCAACAGCTTGTGCCAGTCCCGGAAGAGCCCAGATGTCCGGCACCCGGAAGGGGGGTCTCGGTCGCACCCACACCTGCTCCGTTCCCTCGGGATACCCAGAATGCCTGGCGGCCCGGGCATCCTGCTGGTGGGCTGGAGGCATAGGGCGGTGCACGGGGGCGGGGGTGGGGGAGGGGGCCGGAGGGCGCCGAGGGGGGCCTCGGAATTGCTCCCTGGACCGTGTCCCTGGAACTTGTCGGGCCTCCGGGTCCCTTGGCCCCCAGTCCCCGGACCCTCTGACCCCGCCCCCGGCTGCGCTGACCCCGCCCCCAGCCTTGGGCTGACCCCGCCCCCGCCCCACTGACCCCGCCCCAGCCTTGGGCTGATCCCCCAGGACCCTGGCCCCGCCCTAGACCGCGTTGACTCCGCCCCCAGCCTTGGGCCGGCCCCGCCCCGCCCCACTGACCCCGCCCCCAGCCCTGCACAGACCCTGGCCCCGCCCCAGACCGCGTTGACCCCGCCCCCAGCCTTGGGCCGGCCCGCCCCAGCCACGCTGGCCCGCCCCAGCGCTGCGCTGACCCCGCCCCGCCCCACTGACCCCGCCCCCAGCCCTGCACCGACCCTGGCCCCGACCCAGATCGCGTTGACCCCGCCCCCAGCCCTGCGCTGACCCCGCCCCCAGCCTTGGGCAGGCCCCGCCCCCGCCCCGCCGGCCCCGCCCCCAGCCCTGCGCTGACCCCGCCCCGCCCCGCCGGCCCCGCCCCCAGGTTCCACGCGGGCGCGGCGGACGACGGCGGGGGCTACACGGTGGAGGTGAGCATCAACGACTACCTGGACATCTACTGCCCGCACTACGGGGCGCCGCTGCCGCCGGCCGAGCGCATGGAGCACTACGTGCTGTACATGGTCAACGGCGAGGGCCACGCCTCCTGCGACCACCGGCAGCGCGGCTTCAAGCGCTGGGAGTGCAACCGGCCCGCGGCGCCCGGGGGGCCGCTCAAGTTCTCCGAGAAGTTCCAGCTCTTCACACCCTTCTCCCTCGGCTTCGAGTTCCGGCCCGGCCACGAGTACTACTACATCTGTGAGTGGGGGGGACGGGAGAGGGACACGGGGGGAGGGGACACGGGGGACACGTGGGGGGGCACGGGGGATGGGGGTATATGGGGGAGGGGACACGGGGGACACGTGGGGGGGACACAGGATGGGGGTATATGGGGAGGGGGACACGGGGGACACGTGGGGGGACACTGGGGGATGGGGGTATATGGGGGAGAGGACACGGGGGACACGTGGGGGGGCTCGGGGGGATGGGGGGTATATGGGGGAGAGGACATGGGGGACACGTGGGGGTGGGCACGAGCACCACCGCATCTCTGACACGAGGGAAGGGGGAGGCGGGCCTTGGGGAGGTGGGTCTGGCTGGATTGTCCTGGGGGGGGGGCCACCCCTCCTCCCGCCCTGGCCTTGGTGTCCCTGGGGTCAAGCCCTGGTGGTTTCATCCTCCCAGCCAGCCCCGGAGGCCCCCCTGTCCAGAGTCCCCATTGTGCAGATGGGGCCCAGAGCAGCGTTGAGCCTGTAAACCCACAGGCGCCCTCCCCTGACCTCAGTGTCCGGAGCGGACCTGGGCCTCTCAGCTGGCGGAGCAGACGGCCCCCCATCAGCTTGTCCCCTGAGACCATGGTGCTCACCCTCCATCGCAGGGAGGAGGGGACAGGCCTAGGGAATCTGGTGCAGGAGCGGGGTGGGGGTGGGGGAGTGAGGGCGGAGGCTGGTACCTGCAGGTCACCCCCTTGGCTTGGCAGCCATCCCCCAGGCCCTGTCCAGCATCCCCCCACCCCCCAGGATTCCTCCAGGACTGTAGAAGCTGCTTTCCAAGATGTGGGGACACTGAGGCACACACAGCCTCAGGGTGGGTGGCCCCTGCTCTGTCCCTTCTCCCCTCAGGGGGTCCCCCATAAAGTCCTGATGGTAGAGGGGGGGGATGGGGAGGCGGAGCACAGCGGGCTTGGCGGAGTGCCATGGGTCCACGTCCAGGTCCCGCTGTGGCCTGGCAGCCCTTTGCTCCCCGTGGACCTTGGCCAGGAGCACGGGGTCTGGGCGCTGCCCTCGCAGCGTGAGGCCTGGGGCAACACCCCTCCAGGGGCCCTGGAGTGTGAGAGGTCAGCGCCTTGCGGGTGCAGTGGGGGGCTCCGTGGGGGGCCATGTGGAGGCGCCCCTCCCGCCGTCCTCCCTGCTGTGTCCCGCTAAACCCCACGGGCCCCATTCTTCTTTTCTGCTCTATTTGGAATTTTTCCTTTTAATTCACGGACGAAGCGGGTGGAGGAAGGGGGAAGAAGGTGTTGAAATTAAGTCCTCGTAATATAAGAAAAATTACATTTTTCTTTCCAGGACGGGAGTTTCATAAAGATAATTATTGTAATTATTCGTCCTATCTCCGTGACAAATGTTATTTTTATTACGCACTTTTTAATCTTCATCTCCCAGCGTGAGGGGCTTCTGGGGCGGGCGGGGGTGGCCGCCCCCAGAGGACGGGCAACACCGGCCCGCGTGCATCCACCAGCGTGGATGTGCACACGGGGCGGCTCACGTGTGCGAGCCCCACGGGCCCCCTGGGCTGGGGCCTCCCCCTGAGTCCCTGTCCTGAGCCCCGAGTGCTGTGGGCCCCCCGGGTGAGGTGGGGGTGCAGCCTCTCTCCCGGGGGCCACTGGCTTTGCTGGCCCCTAGATGGATGGAGGTCGTCGTTTCCCAAGCTCTTGCTGCAGGGCAGATGCGGCCCATGTAGGGGTGACTTACCCGCGGGCAGCGGGGAGCAGGTATTTGATCCTAGATCAATCATTTGGTTACACTGAGTTTTTGCTGATTGGATTCGAGAAAAACAGGTTTTTAGTCATCACCTTTGAGCCTTGCCCTGTGCTGCCTTGGGGTGAGATGGAGCCAGACTCAGACACCCCCGGTCGCTGGGGTCAGGCAGCAGCAAACGGAAGGGCAGGGAGGGTGTGCAGGAGGACTTCTGGGAAAGAGAGGACGTTGTGTCTGGGGCTTTGATGTGTGAGTAGGAGTTTTGAGGGTGGCCCCGCCCCTAGCCTTGGGTGAGGTTGTGCCACCAGTGTGGGGAAGGGGATGGAGCCCAGGAGGTCTCGGCGCTGAGAGCTCCTGTCCCCCGTCCCTGCCCGTGTCTTCCAGCTGCCACTCCGCCCAATGCTGTGGACCGGCCCTGCCTGAGGCTGAAGGTCTATGTCCGGCCGACCAGTAAGTGCTCAGGGCCCTCAGCCTTGTGTCCTGAGCCCGCAGAGCCCACTGCGGGTGTGCGGAGCGCGGGCGGCCGGAGCGCAGCCCTGGGAGTCCCATGACCCCAGCAGCGGCCGCTGCCCCGCAGCCTCATTTCCCCACCTGAGTGAGGACAGCACCGCAGACCTTCGGGAGTGAGGGTGGAGGCCCTGGCCTGGCCTGCGCTGCGGCCGCGCCCTGCACCCAAGCGTCAGCATCAGGGAAGCTCCCCGGGGTAGACCCGAGGGCCATGGCCCCAATGTCACAGCCACACCAGAGAACGGGGGTCCCCGCAGCCATGTGACCTCACCTGGGCGCCAGGTCGTGTGTGTGCCCTGCTGTTGGCCGCGCTCGCACTGAGGGCACAGCCCCGCTCGGCCAGGGGGTGCAGCTGAGCCTCGTGAGCTCCAGGGAGCAGAGTCAGGGTGTGGGGCACAGCCGGCGAAGGAGGGGCCACGGGGACTGAGGGCGCCTGGTGACCATCCTGTCTCTGTGTCTCCCCAGACGAGACCCTGTACGAGGCCCCTGAGCCCATCTTCACCAGCAATAACTCGTGCAGTGGCCTGGGCAGCTGCCAGCTCGTCCTCAGCACTGTCCCTGTGCTCTGGACACTCCTGGGCTCCTAGTCCTGGCCCGCCTGGACGGTCCCCCTGGACGGCCTGCCTGGATGGCCTTGCCTGGACGGTCCCTGGACGGTCCCCCTGGAGGGCCTTGCCTGGACGGTCCCCCTGGACGGCCTGCCTGGATGGCCTTGCTGGACAGTCCCCCTGGATGGCCTTGCCTGGATGGTCCCCCTGGAGGCCTTGCCTGGACGGTCCTCCTGGACGGCCCACCTGCCGGATGGTCCCCTGGACGGCCTCGTCTGGACGGTCCTCCTGGACGGCCCACCTGCTGGACGGTCCCCCTGGACGGCCTCGCCTGGACGGTCCCCCTCGATGGCCTCACCTGGACAGTCCTCCTGGACGGCCCACCTGCTGGATGGTCCCCCTGGACGGCCTCGCCTGGATGGCCTCGCCTGAAGAACACACAGACACTCCATTTCTCCCATGACAGGTGCTGCCCCTGCCAGGTGGGGGGCGTCCAGCGCCCCGGGACCCGCCCTGGGGGGTGCGTGGCTAAGGGTCCTGAGGCCAGGCCAGCCCTTCCGGAGTGCCGGAGAACCTAAGAACCTCTTGGCAGTGGTTTTGTTTTATGGCGGACTCAGAAAGACTTGAGTTTCTAATTTAATTTATTCCTTTGCTGTTGCTGGTGACTTTGGGAAGGAAACAGAAGGGTATGGGCGGGTGGGGGCTCCTGGTCCCGGGGGCACGGGCCTCAGGAGACCCCCTGGTCAGCTCACCCCGTTTGTCTTGCGGGGTCCTGGCTGGCGCCACCCTGCACCTCCCACGGGCCCGGGGGGAAGGGGGTAGTGAGAAGTGGCCCCAGGCCCCCCGGAATCTGAGCCCACCCCAGCCCCTGCCCCTGCCTCACCCGCCTCCTCGGGGGCTCCTTTCCCAGAGTGGAAATCCAGGATGTTTCACCGGGGGCCACGGCCCGCTCTGAGTCCCAGGCCCCCGAGTCTAGAACCCCTTGGGCGCCCCCCCCCCCCGCCCAGCCTCACCTGCCGGCCGCCGAGGCCCAGAAGACATGACGTTTCTGTAAATAGAGCCAGCAAGTATATATACTGTGATTTATTTTTACTGTATTCCTAAGGACGGCCTGGAAAGTCTCTTTTTTTTTTTCCCCTTCCCGGGAGGGGGGGCACTTTTTTTGGCGGGGGTGGGGGTGGGGGGACTCTTTAGAGTAGAAGCCACACTTCGCAATAAGCTCAGTTGTCTGTCGGAGCCCCCTCCCCTTGCTCCCGGAACTAACCATGTTTGTAAGGGAAAACAGGACGAAGCAAAACACCGGGGGAGCCCACCCCCAGAAAAAGACACCCCCCGACCCTTTAAAGAAGCAAACAGCATTTATACAGATTTCATATTTCTACCCGCCTTTCCTGATCTGTGTTTTCTATATATTCTATATAAGTATATATGGTGCGGGGCTGCCAGGTGGGGCTTTTGTAGGGGCAGCGGGCGGGCGGCGTGGCCACGCCTGGAGCTGGCGGCGCGGACTCCCCCTCCGTTACAATCAACTTTGAATTCTGTATTTTTTTATAATAAAACGAGTGTAAACCTCCAGCGTGTGCGTGTGGGGGGGGGCCCTCTGCCCAGCTGCGGGGGGTGGGGGGACACTCGGAACTTACAGTTTGGAGCTGCGTCCCGAGTCCGCCCGCTGGGGAGGGAGGGAGATCGGGGCTCCACCGTGACGGAGTCTCGGAGTCTCGGGTGGTTGGGGGGCCAGGCTCCGGGATGAGCGCTTTGTGGGGCGCTGTCCTTCGTGGCCCTCCATGGGCCTCAGCGCCCCCCCCCGCCCCCGAGCAGTGGGAACAAGCCTCCCCAGCCCGGGGGCGGCCGGAGGAAGCAGGGAAGACACCGGGAACGCAGCAAAGGTACCCAGATTGCAAGCCCCCAGGCTTGGTCCGGGTGCCCTGCTCCCTCGGCTGTATCTGGGGTCCCCGGGGAGAGGAGAGAGGATCTTCAGGTTCCAAGACGGGTCTTTTAGGATCCAACCAAATTATATGGCCTCTGTCGCCAAGCTCTGCGGCTGTGTGACTCAGTTCCCTACTTGCCCAGCCCCGCGTCAGGGGTCTGTGGGTTGCCTCTGAATCCCTCTCTGGGTTTGCAAAAGGGACGCGTCAGGGACTGTGGGCGCCGAGGGGCCTTCACCCCGGCCTAGCCCCAGATGGGGGCCCAGAGAGAGGCTGGGGGCCGCCCAGCAGGGCCGGGGACTGGGGACCCCTCAGCCGCCTGTCGCCTTGGTGCCGCCGCCAGCCCCGCAGCCTCTCGGGCACAATTCGCGGGGAGGGGAGGCCCGCAGCTAATGAATTCGGCCGAGCTGGGCCCGAGACAGGGCCTGCCTCTTAATGAGGCCAGCGAGCTGCACAAAGGGCCCTGTGTGCGCCGCCCGCGTCGGGGGTGGACGAGGGACCCGGCCCGGCGCCGCGCGGGAGACCCCGGACCCGCCTTCCCCGCCCAGGACCCCGGAGCTCGGGCAGGCACCGGGCCTCCCTGGGGGGCGCTCCCCAGACCCCTGGCCTTGGGGGGCCGTGGACGGAGGAAGGGGGGCCTACACGGGGGTGGGGGCGGATCCCAGCAGCTGACTTTAATTGTCTTGTTACGTAGGAGTCACCGAGAGTCCACGTCCCACAGCGTCCGTCCTTCTAGACGCTTAGTGACCTGCTGCGCTACCTGGATCCCAGGCGTGGGGGCCTCGCTCCTGCTCATGGCCCAGGGGACGTGCCTGTGTGTGGATAGATCTCGCTGCTTATCCTTTCACCTATTTATGGACATTTTCGATCTTTCCAGCCAGCTATTGTAAGGATTTTTTTAAAAAGATTTTTATCTGTTCATCGAGGAGAGACCGAGAGATAGAGAGACAGTGAGAGCGGGGGGGGGGGGGTGCAGAGGGAGAGGGACAGCAGATTCCTGCTGAGCAGGGAGCCCGACGCGGGACTCGACCCCAGGACGCTGGGATCAGGACCTGAGCCCAAGGCAGACGCCTCGCCCGCCGAGCCCCCCAGGCGCCCTGAGGGTTTCTTTTTAAGACAAAGTTTTAACACAAAAGGTGAGCTCAGGTGAGTAAGTACAAAAATAGCTTTGTTCCCGCGTCTGGGTCCCGGCACACGCTGTTCCCGCGGCCTGGTGCACGCTTCCCGCAGGGCGCCGGTTGGCTCTGCCCCTCGGACCCCTCGGATTCCGTCACACGTGTCGTCACATGTCCCGTCTCGGCCTCCCTGGCGGAGGGGCCTCGCCCCCAGGCCCCTGGAGGGGAAGCTGATTCTCACCTGCTCTCCCGCAGGCTGGGAGGTCCCAGTGGGCAGCGCCAGTCCCGGGTGCTCGGCACCAGGCACAGGTTGGGAGGCCCCCCTGGACCGTCATCGGCCGCAGGCACAGTCACCTGCCCGCACGTGCGGAGGAGCCGCAGGCACGCACACCCCTGCACTGCCCGACGCTTGCACTTAGGGCCCGGGTCTCTCGGGAACCGTCCCTGCCCACCCCCAGCCCCTGGTCACCGCCTCGGGGACCGCTGTCCCCATGCGCAGTGGCCACTCACTCCTGGGGTTGCACCGGGCCCCGCAGGGACCCTGGGCACCCCCAGCCTCAGCCGGAAGATGGACACCACGCTGCAGGCCCCCTGGCCAGCCGTCGGTCTGCGGGGTCCTGAGCAGAGGGGAGTGATTTGCTTACTGCGGCCTCGGTGTCCCGCCCCAGGGGGGTCCCCGAAGTTCCCCCAACCCCGCCAGCCCTGCAGGATGGAGAGTGGCCTCCCCGCCATGGGCCCCCATCAGATCCGTGGCTGCCCTGGTTTGGGGGGGAGTCAGGCCTCAGTCACAGGATGGGGCCCCGACGTCCCCTTTCCATCTGCACTGGAGGAAAAGCCCCAAGACCCCAGCACCCCTCCCACGAGGACTAATGGGGACCACCCAGACTTTAGGGGTCCCGTGAAGTCCCTTCCTCACGGCCACACAGCTGGAAGCCCCCACGGCTCCTGCATTCCAGTCCAAGTAAGGCCCAGAGCCTTCTGCGGGGTCCTCTCCCCTGCACCTGACCTCAGGCACACTCTGCCTCGCCGGGCGCACCCACCTCCACCTCTGGCCCTTTGCCTGTGTCCCCTGCCCGGTCCCCTCCCTGGTCCCCTGCCCGGTGCTCTCCCCTTCCCCACGTGTCTTCAACCCCTACCCCAGGGCCTCCCAGGTCTTGCCTGTCCCCTCCGCCGGGCTCTCAGCATCCTGAGGGCCGGGATTCTAGTCTCTGCTGGTCACTGCTACATCCTCAGAGCCCAGGACATGCCAGGGACCCAGCAGGTGCTCAGGGAACTCTCCCGATGGAATGACTGAACGTGCAGCTGCATCCTGAGCAAGCAGGACCGGCGGCTGCTCCCCACGCAGGGGCGCCCAGCAAGCGTCTCCTGCGCCCCCGCCCTGCTCAGTGCTGGGCCCTTCCCAGGCCTTCATGGCCTCCCAGCCTCCAGGCCCGATATTCGGGGGACTTAGGGGCCATGGGAGGAGGCTACACAGTTGGGGCCCCGATCCAGGTGGCAGGGAGGCCACTGATGGACAAATAAAGAGCAAGTTCCCAGCCCAGAAGCCCCCGAGGAACCATAAATTGCATCAAGGTGACACCCAAGCCGGTAATTTAGTGGATGCAGCCCGGGTGGTGTGGCCCGCGGGGCAAACTGGAAGGGCTCCTCCTCCCCTCCCCGCAGTCACCTGGCGGAGCACCAGCCCTACCAGTGGCACCCGAGGACCCTCCCCCCGTCACCGGAACCATGGGGTTGCCTGCTCAGGGGTGCAGACAGGGATGTTTGGGGATGAGCCCCCAGATTGGAGGGACTCTCCGGGGGCGGGCGCTGCTTACCTGGTGGCCCCCAGACCCACACCGGTCCAGACACAGAGGCCAAGAGGCCCAGAGGCGATGGAGGCAGGGCCCTCATGGACACTGCAGTCTGTGGGGTCACAGGGGGGAGTGGAGGGAGACTCCTCTCCCGTGCAGACGGGGGCAGAGGCCCCACCAGCCCCCTGGTCCTGGGACTGAGTCCAGGGTGAGCCTCAGGTCTCGGTGGGCGAGCCCCAGGACTTGCATCTGAAGGGCCTAGGGTAGCCCAGGGGATGAGACCAGGTCCCCCCCAGCAGCCCCAGAACGGTAAGTTCAGCCCTGCTGGGCAGGGCTGGGGCCCCTTGGGGTTGCCCTCTCCGAGAAGCGCTGCTGGACCGGCCTCTGCTGTGGGTTCAAGGCCACAGCCCCCCCACAGGGCGCTGGCCTGCCTCCCCGGGGCTGGGGGCAGCAGCTTCCAGGAGAGACCCGCGAGTCATTTCCCAGGACCCTCGGCCCGGCCCTCTCCAGCTCCAGCTCCCCAGGGGCACACTGATGGAGCGCAGGGGGTCAGGGGGCACCGGCGGCGCCGCCGCAGCTCCTACCCCCTCCAACACTCATCCCCAGGGCTCCCGGCCTTAGGAATGAGGGAGTACTGACACCCCCGAGGGGCTGCCCCATCGGACGAGTGGGAAACCGAGGCACGGGTCAGGCGCATCGCCCCAGCCGGCAGAGGGGTCCCCGGGGAGGAAGGGGAGGCGAGATTGGCGGTTCGGCCCCAGGCTGAGGGCTCTAAGTGCTTAAAAGCCTATTGTGGCCGCTGGGAGTAGGGGGGCGGGGGCGGGGGGTCGGGGGGGAGGGGCACCTCCACGAACTGCCCTGGACCTACAGACCTACAGCGGGAGAGCCAAGGAGTCAGGGAAGGCCGGCGTCCGCCCCCTCCTGGGCTGGAGCCCCCCCAGCATCCCCCCCTCCAGGCCCCCCCAGCCCTGGACCAGGCTCCCCGCTCCCCTCCTTGCAGGCCTGCCCTCCCCCTTCGGGAGCCCTCGGCCCCTCTGCTCCCTGCGCTCTCTCCCTTGTCAAACAGCATCGTCTCCTCTTTCAGGTCTCACCTCTTCACTCAGGCCTCAGTTTCCCCATTTACTAACTGAGGGCGTGAGATCTGGTCCCTGAGGAGGTGAGGGGAAGGGAGGGGAGGCCTGCTTTCCTTCTTCGGCACGTGTTAGCCAGTTCTGTGTGAGCCACCCTCTGCCGGAGGACTCGGTTTCCCCATTTGTGGGGTGTGCAGCAAGGTCTGGGTCCCAGCCCCAACTCAGCCTTTCTGCCAAGCAGGCGAAACCCATCGGAGACCCATTTTACAGACGGGAAGGTCGAGGCCAGAGGAGGGTTGCACCCAGCCCAGGCCCCCCACCCCTACCCCGCGGTCGGTGTGGAGCTGCCCCCCTTAGCACGGATGGGGGCCGGCCGGGGAGGGCCCGACTGTCCACACTGCAGCCGGGGGGGAGGCCGGGCCTCTAGCCCAGCAGCCCGGGTCAGCAGCACCTGCAGGTGGAAGAATTCTGTCTGCAAGGTGGACTGGGTGTGGGCTCTGAGGGGCGGGCAGGCCTGGCAGGGGACGGGGCGGGTGACCCGGGGGGACCATCCTGGCCCCGCCTCCCCAAGCAGCCAAAATTAGAGCCTGTTACTTTCCTGCCAGGGGCACACCCCCAAAGGGCTCTGGGGGGGACCTGCTTGGGAACGCCCACTGGCCCCTGGCAGGGGACCCT